CGACCCTATTATATCTAGTTAGAGAATTATGTCACAGGAAGTAGATTAAGGTTCATTCATACATGCAAACGATTTTGTCTTTGAATTCGGACGCAATAGGCGAGAGTTTCCGGCGAACACTCTTTTGTCGTGCTTTTTGGCCAGGGACCTGTTGTTGAAAGGAAGATGTCAGTCATCTATAATCCGCAGCGGTATAGAGGCGGAAACGAACAATGAATGTACGGTATACGTATCGGTTCTTGATCCAGGCATTGGAAAATGGCTTGTCCAGCTCTTTAGCCAGCGTAGCAGCAGCTGTGTTACTCGTCTATCGGGGAAAGTTAGTCAACGATGGCGCATCGTCAAAACTGTGACAGCGAAAAGTACTTGCCTCCGGGATCGGGATGACTATACAATAATCCAAGTTAGCAACCATACCCATACGCGAAACATAAAAGGGAAGAAAGCTTGTTCAAACAGTCTACAAAGTGGCTGGGACCATTTTATCACTTACCAACATCAATGTTACGAATCTCCTCTTCTCCCAACACTTGTCTCATCCTCTTTGCCAGCTTGAAACCCATGTTCTGTCGGCTATGGTGGACAGACATTCCATCAATAGTGCTGTCCGGTCTCGAAAAATAGATGAATTCGAACAGGTCGGGCGTGTATGATTTCCTCTCCACGACTTGATGGAACTGGGGGCTTCCTCCTTTCGGAATGAAAACGGCCTGTCCTGGCAATATGTCGACAATGTTCTTGAATCCAAGTTGGGTCAGGGCAATAGATTCCGAAGCCATGAAATAATCCATAGCACCTTCAAGCGTTTCGGAGGGTCGGGATCCCAGGCAAAGTGGCCTGATGCCGTTTTCATCGCGGAAGCCCAAGATTCCAAAGCCGGCAATCATGGCAGTACAAGCGAAGGCGCCGTGGCATCTCTTATACACTTCCTGTAGCGCGGTGAAGACATCCTCGACGTTCGCTCGGACCTTGCCAATTTCGCTGAGGCCATGGGCAAAGATATTGAGCCTAGGTAACAGAGTAAGTCAAAAGATTGAACTAAAGCGTAAAAGAGGAGTTTGACCAACAAGAGTTCTGAGTCTGAGTCGGTATTCACATGTCTTCGAGCCTCACAGTCCAAGAATCTAACCAGCTCCGGTGTGTTTACCAGATTTCCGTTGACGCTCATGGACAGGCCGTACGGGGCATTAACGAAGAATGGTTGCGCTTCGGACCTGCAAATATTTAGTTAGCGTCTTGTCTGGGAGCTTCCACGCAGAGATTAGGAGACGAGCATACGCGGACGCGGTGCCCGCAGTCGGGTACCGAAGATGGGAAATTCTAATTCAGAGCAGTTAGTACAATGGTATATTTCGCAGGTTTCGAGGTATATCGAAACCAATTTTGGTGCAAGGAGTGCAGCTTACCCCATGAAGCCGGGGAGCTTGTAGTCCATGAATTAGCATTCGCCTTTCCAACGTGATATAAAGGATACACAAAAAGTAGAAGCAGAAGCTTCATAATTTTGCTACAGACAAACAACACATTTGCCGGAGACAGTCGTGTAAAAAGATATGGAGCCTAGGCACTTACATCGACTGTACGCTTTCCCTCGTCAAACACCTTTGCGGCCATTCCATTTCCTTTGCATTGATAGACTCTTCCGCCCTGGCACACGGCAATACCAGCGGCATCTTGACCGCGCTGTTACTAATATTAGCATTCTCTGAAGGCATACTGGGACGAAGTTGCTCGATCGATCGAGGAAGAAAGGGTCGGGATGGCGGCTGAGCGAGTAACTAACATGTTGTAGGAAATATAAGGATTCGTGTAGGTCGACCGCAGCCGTAGTGGCTTTGGAGTCACCCAACTATCAATTCAAAGTCGTTAGCATGGTTGCATCTCGTTGTTCGTCTCGGTGTGTCTCCAGCATGGTCTTTTCTGCATTGTCGTCTTGCGGTGTATGCAGCTTTCTAAGTGGTAGAGTTTCATCGGGGCTCCGGGGTCGGGGCTCGAGAAAAAAACTTACCAATATGGCCGAGACACCACACATGGTGCTACAATGGACACTGCGTCTTGGCTAGGGATTCAACGTTGTATTCCCTTCGTTTGGAAGAACCTCCGCAGTGAAGCGTGGATGGTTGATCGAAATTCCAAAAGAGAAAAAAAAATTCAATGCAGCGCATGAGCATTGGAGAAAAAAAGCCGACCAAAGGAAAGTTCGCGCCCACCCCACGTTCCAACCGCCTTAGTAGGAGTACCTGCGCTATTACATCAAGCCCCTACTGTTGCAAGTACTCTGCAAGTGCTAGCATAGGTACCTAGTAGGCTCTCCACACTATCCGCAGTCAGCATGGCGCTCTGATACCGCTATATCGACCACTATCAATGGCAGCCACTCTATTTTCTCGGGGGTTCGCTATAAGCTGCATTACTCAGCATAAAAGTGACTCTGCCTTAAGTCGCCACAGGACCATGGGAGGCAATATTTGTTTTTACTTGGCCTCAGGAGGCGGATTGGATGTCTGCTAGATGCAATTATAGTAGAGAAATAAGTTTACGCTGCCGATATATCCGTAGCTGCCTATATCTATGCTCAACCGGCGTTAGTAGAAACGGTCTCCACAGACGGCTGGATAACACGAAATTATAGACTACGAGATAGCGCATATAGATAGGATCAGGGTTGCTTGTACGCACCATCTCAAGAGACCTGGAACATGAACAGAAAGGTAAAAGAAAGAAATGCAAAAGGTGTCTAGGTTACTGTTGACGTGGCAAGTCCCGTCATAGGATGCATGTATTAATAAAAATATGATATCGCTACTACATACTCTAATCAAATCCTTCAAACTCATCGTCCTCCTTTGCCGCTTTTGCCATATTCTCTTCCCTGACTTTCCGAATCAGCTCGTCCAGCTCGGCTTGCTTGACCTTCTCATCATCCGTCATCGTTGACAGCCTTTTAGCCTCTGACTTCTTGTGCCGCTTCTCTCGTCTCTCGGTCCGGTGCTCTTCCTGCTCTTGCTTTCCGCTCCATGCCTCGTTGTTCTTCCTCTTCCGCTTGGCATCGGCCGCCTTCTTCGCTGTCTCTCCGCTCTTATCAGCTGCCATAGCCTCTCGTCTGGCCTGCTCCCGTGCCTTGTCCTTATAAGCAAATTCGTCCCAGTCCATTTCAACCCCCAGCATCTTATCTCCGTCCCATGATCTCAACTCGGGCATCCTAGGCAGGCGAAGCAGCCCCCATGCGTTTCCAAGATCCGCCCAATCCAAATCACTGACTCTGAAAATGGATGTAGCTTGGTGTGCCCCGTAACTTCGTACCCAGCTAACGAAAGCTTTCTGTGCTTTGTCGTGGATCGCTCTGTCTGACTGAAGGAGTTTCCGGAACTTTGATGTCGTATCTCGGGCTTCATCTTCTGTCACAGAGATTGAAGGTTTTAATAATGGTGTGATCGGGGTTTGGCGAATCTCCAGAAATCTGGCATAGTCTTCCTCGTGCCCTGGGTGTAACATAACCACAGCCAGACCTTTTCTGCCTGCACGACCAGCTCTTCCACTTCTATGTATGAATACTTTGGGGTCGGATGGGGCATCAATCTGAACAACCAAATCAACCTGTGGGATATCCAAACCACGAGCTGCCAAATCTGTTGTCAACAAAATTGTAGGAGATACCGAGGATAGAAAGCGGCCAAAGTTCTTTTCGCGCACTTTAGCCGGATGCTTGCCATGTAAAGGTACCAGCGAAAATCCTTCAGGCAATATCTGAGGAAGAGTGTGTTGAAAGTAGTCTACAGCGGCGCAAGTAGATAGAAAGACAATACTCTTTTGGGGCCGTATAGGCAGGCGCTCCAGCAGCTGCGCTAAGGCTGGCAGCTTCTGGCTAGCCGGAGTAACCAGGTATGACATCTGAAGACTTGCAGGAATCTTTCTGTCTTCGACGATTCCGCCATCCTTCATTTTCACCTTGACTTCGATCTTTACCGGATTTCGTAATCCAACTCGAATGATTTCGCCAACAGCTTCACTAACACTTGCACTGAACAGACCCGTTCGTCTCTGCTTAGGAAGATGTGAAAGTATCGTTTGGAGATCCTGCTTGAAGCCGAGATCAAGCAGTCGATCAGCCTCGTCGAGGACAAGGGCTTCGAAGGACTGGTCGATGTGAACATGGGGTGATGCTAGCAGCTCTACGAGACGGCCTGGGGAGGATATAAGAAGATTCGGGCTGTGTCGGACAAAGTAGCTGAGATCTTGCGCGGGTGTGGTGGTTCCTCCGACCAGCAGCTGGGGAACGATGACAGGCACATTAGTGCTAGGTCTCTTATCTTCGCCTTTCAGGTGTGGTAGTATCTCGGCAGATGGCGCATGGAACTCGAGGAGGGAGAGGAGGACTGTATGGATCTGAGCGGCGAGCTCTCTGGTGGGCGAGATGACGATTGCGCTGACATGGTGCTTCTTTGTGGGCTCCCCGAGGCGCAATAGTCGTTGAACAATGGGAATTAAGAAGGCTAATGTTTTTCCACTACCAGTCACAGCCTATGATGCAGTCAATTGAGTTAGTATAAGAGAATTGCGCAGAGAGGAAACGGAAAATGCCAGTAAACCCACCTCAACTACCACGTCTTTGTTCCCCAGAAACTGAGGCAGAGTCGCAGCTTGCACTGGTGTCATCTGCTTAAAACCCATGCTAGATACGGCGTCAAGGATCCATTCTGCCAATGGAGGCGTTAAGCCACCCCAAGCCCTAGGATCCCTCTTGACAGCGACTTTTCCAGGAGCCATGATGCCTGAATTTGCTGAAAATGCTTGCCAACGCTACATCACCACGGCTATCGTCGATATAATCGAGGCCGTCTAAGAAATTATTTCGACATCTTATCTTATCATCACGTGAAGACATGTCCAAGCTTTAAAATCTTGGCGCTCCGCAACAGGCCAAATCTAGAGCGACGTGGATGGCATGGCGGCAAAACCTTGATCTGCCTAACCGTTAGCGGCAAGCCGCGCATCTGGCCATGCAGGGAAATTTTCATCCAAGCGAAAGTTAGACAGCGGACTTCTGCGGCTCCGAAAACCGCCTTGCCGGCCAAAAAAAAAAAAAGACAAGGCGCGACAGACGACCAGAATCGGCACGTGAAAGTCCAACAAAAAGAAAAAAAGGCAAATCGCGGCCCCAACAAAGAAGGACCCCGGATGACGTTTGGTGCATGGCGCAAATTCTCTCTTTCTAGCACTAAATTGATCAGATTGGCGGGTCACATGTTGCCTGGTTGACAACTTTGCCTAGCAAAGCGGCGGCGCCACGTCCGAAGAAAAACGCACACGACACAGCCGAAGTGACTTTGTGTGGCAGTACTCTTTTGGTGAGGCTGCATGCATGACGGGGGAGGGAGAAAAAAATTCGCCTTGATAGGACCGCTATAGCTCTTCATGTACGAATGTAAAAAAACGACCTAACGCTTCGCCGACGACGACACGAAACACAGGGCATATCGCCTGATCAACTATCTCTTTGCTCTAACGACGAATCAAAAGAATTGATCTCTAAGCCCACCTCACTTCTTTCCCCCTCCCTCCTCTTTTCTAATCTTTCGAGCGCACTATGTGGCAGAGGACCTGGCCTCTACCGCATCGCTGCTAAAACCATCATTCATCCTGGAGACCCCAACTCGCCCCGTCAACCTGTCCCCTGTCAGCCCCTCGTCATCGCACAGCAGCGGCCGCAATCTGTTTGAGCTTTTCAGCCCGTGCAGCACCAGCGACGACAGAAGCGACAGAAGCCGCAGCAGAAGCAGCAGCAGCCACAGCAGCGTCACCGCACCGCGCCTCTCGCGCAGGGACAGAGACGACGCGCAACACCGCTGGTCCCTGTGGCCCTCGGGCTTTGAATCGCTGCGCCGCCTCGTCGTAGGTGCTGTTTACTGCCCTGCCCTGCCTCCAGCGACCTTCACCATGTCGCTCCGTCGCCAGTCAGGCGCCCGCCACGTCCCGGACATGCCTCGCATCATCTCGCCGAGCCCGACACCGTCAGAACGAGACGTGCAGGATTACGTGGGCCCAATGACCCGGAGTCGAAGAAAGGCCCCGACGCAGCAGGCGGTGGAGGAGCTGAGCGACGAGGAGGGCTTCGACAGTGCTTCCGGGATCCGGAGATCCCGTACAAGAAGCCGCTCCCCCATCGACTCGCGCGGCGTCCCTCGCATGACACCCAAGACGTCCAAGGCTTCAACATCGCAAAAGCCCGAGTTGGACGGCATCATGGCGACCGCTACGGCCACCAGACTGGCCACCACGAACGGCCACTTGGCGCCTCCTCTGCCTGCGACACCGACGGGATGGAGCTGGCGCGACTTCAGCCGGAGTCCCAGTCCTCTCGGCCTTATCCCAATCCATCGACACTGGCGGACGTTTGTGCACAAGCACGAGGTCCCGCGCAAGGTCCTCCACGTCTCCATCGGCTTCTTCGTCGTCTGGCTCTACAGCTCCGGCACCCAGACCAGCGCCGTGCCGCCATATCTGATGAGCGCGCTGATCCCAATCACAACGGTTGACTGGCTGCGGCACCGATACGCATCCTTCAACCGGCTCTACGTCAAGGTACTCGGCGCCCTTATGAGAGAAAGCGAGTACGCAGGCTGGAACGGCGTCATTTTCTACCTCCTCGGCGCCTGGATCACTCTCTACTTCTTCCCCAAGGACGTTGGCGTCATAGGCGTCCTGCTGCTCAGCTGGTGCGATACAGCCGCCAGCACATTCGGCCGACTCTGGGGAAAATATACCCCGAGACTGCGCCGCGGCAAGTCTCTCGCCGGATCGCTGGCCGCCTTCATTGTTGGCGTGGCCACTTCCTACCTCTGGTACGGATGGCTCGTCCCCACCATCGGACCTATGCCCGGCGACGAGAACTTCATGTTTACCGGTACTCTCTCTCTGCCACGAGCACTGACAGAGGCAGTTGGCCTGCCAGAGAGCTTGACCTCTGTCTCTGGCCCTGTTGCCCTTGGCATCATGAGCGTCTGGTCTGGCTTCGTCGCTTCAGCCAGTGAAGTGGCTGACCTCTTCGGATGGGACGACAACCTGACGATCCCAGTGCTTAGCGGACTCGGCATTTGGGGATTCCTTAAACTGTTTGGCTAGGTACATACTGTATAGAAGGCGGTTCTTGTTCTTTTTTTTTTAACCACTGTTCATTTTTTTTTTCTTTATAATATTACACATGTATGCTTATATCTTTCCTTGCTATTATATAGCGCAACACATTCTCCACTTGTAAGGTATTTGTTCTATATTACGACGGTCTGGGTCTTTGATACTTGGTTTCCAAATGTTCACTAGCCGGCTACGCTGAGCAGGTAGATTGATTTACAGCTGCTGGGCACTTAAGATAGAGTAGATAGACACCTAATCCAACATATTCAAGAGCATCAATCGTACCAGTCACGCGAATTGTAGCACAGAGAGGCGTCATCCCGAGCATCTGCTTGTTTACATGAAAAACTGCCTCCTCACTAAGAATTCAGTCAAGTAGGAGGGCCCAAAAAGGACATAGCCGCAGACCACTCACTCTCAATGAGCTCACCAAACATAAAAGAGCGACCGCCTTTGTTTTGGCTTGGGTTGCGTGGGTATGCAACTAGCCGGCTTGCAGAAGAAAAAAAAAATTGCCCGGCTCACATACACACACACGCTAGTTACACGAGGTAGTCGTGCGGCAGTATTACCTCATGCTGCTGTGATGTCGTGCAGATATCACAGCAGCTGCACTGATGCCCATTGATGAAGTATGTAGCACATGCATGAATGAAGGTCCGAGAGAGCTAATACAAGCAAGGATTACTGGTACGCGAGATGATGCCGAGTAAAATGTATTCATTGGTCCTTTTATTTTTCTCTCTTTTTTTTTTTTGTCTTCTTCTTTGTTATGTCTCCTTTTGTTGTTTCATGTCCGCAGTATCACAATGCCCAGTGAACATTTGCCTTCCTACCCATTTCAATTCTGCCAGCCCATTCCTTTGCTCTCGTCCTCTTTACTCCTTCTTGATAAGAAACCCACCATCTTCTCATTAAAAAAAAAAAAAAAAAAAAAAAAAAAGAAAGAAAGATAATAACCACCCATCTTCCCGTACGTTCTCCGCATCCTGTCCCATCCCTCTGTCGCGGAAAACGAGTCTGACAGGCCAGAATTGGCAAAGGTGGGGCCTGCCACCTCAGCGTGCACAAACAGCGCCTCAAACGAGTTAAATTTTGATGGTGGTCCGGTTTTTGTCCTCTCTCACGATTCCTTCCATGTCAGGTTAATGCGCAATGCAAAAAAATTTTAAATCTTTTTTTTTTCTCCCCTTGATATATAGTTTGTTTGAATATGGGATGTTGGCTTGGGAATCCTTTGGGGCATGATGCGTTGTCCTGCTGGCTGTTAGAGGCAGGGGTGCGTATTAGCCATTGTGAGCTCAATGGTAATACAGGCCAGCATTGGAGATCTAATTCTTCTTCCCACGTCCTTGTTTCCATCTTTTCTGATAGTTGTACTATCTTAATCATCGACATGTTTCATATCATCCTCCTCTCTTTATTCTCTCGTCTTGGCCTTTTTTTTTTCTTTTGCTCAGCCCTCCTAGGTGGTTTTCCCAGTTCACCTTGCCTGTTCCCACCGTATCATTCTTGCAACGTCGGCCCCTGGTCGATGCCACTATCCCCGCTTGCCATTGACAACACATACTTCTTCCCAGGCTTTCGGGAGAGGCTCCTGGAGCTTGAGGAGGGGGCGTGCGGGAGGGAGGGTAGAACTACAGACTGCTACTCAGTTTCTTCCCGTTTCGGCTGGTTCTTGGGAATTTTTTAAATGTCCTAGCAGACCCTTGTCATGTTAAGCGATTTGATCTTCCCCATGGATTTGCGCGGTCGTAGCCTATGATGATGTTATTCAAGTACGTATCTCGATACATCGCCCATTGCCTTATACGCTCTTTACAATGGCGTCAAATTTGCTATTCGAAAATTTTCAGGAAGAAGATCCTTATTTGTCTTAGTTGTGAAGACGCTATGAGCAAATTAGAACCATCTAGTGGCATCTCTTCCAGGTCGTCGGCCGACGTGCTGTGGTATAAGCCCGCAGCTTCATGCATAGAAAAACTCAATCGCCATCTCCATGACCAAGTTTTGTCAGGCCATGATCTGTCTTAACAAGCCACATCCATGCACAACAGAACTATTAGCCCTGGTTAGCGTGACGATTGGGACTAGAATTATCAAATTCTTGAAACTAATTACCTGCTTGCGAGGCAATCAGAATCCACCATAAGGCGCAAATCCGCCTTCGCAGGGCCGTGGCTTGAGGTTGGCGTAACTGAGTGACAGAGTAATGTTCTAACCGCAAGTATCATCATTGTACATGTCAAATCATCTCCAAAAAGCGCCGTAATAGTATGTGCCTACTAGTATGGGTATCAAGCCAATTAGTATCACGTGGAACTGGTTTGTCTCACCCAGACACCATGTTCCAGATTAGCTTTGTGTAAGAGCTTCTCGTGGCCGTGCGTAAAAACATCGACATGAGCAATGAATGAATGGCATATCAAGCCATCGGAGGTCCGATATCAACGTCCGCTCCTCCAATAGCCCAAGTACTACCATCTATCACTGCATGCTGATACCCGCTACGTGCTATAGCCAGCATGTAGCAAGTCCATCCATGTGTAACATGTAGTGCCTACTGCTGCAGCATGGCAGAGCGTGATGTCTGCTCTAAGCGGCGCTGCAGGGACGGCCAGGGCACGTCGGGCGTGCATGCTGCGTTAACCCGGAGGCGGATGAATGATGATATCTCGGGAATCTTAGGCTGGTGGCCTTTGCTTCTATTGGGCTCCTTCAGAGCGGCCCCCATCCGCGGCATCCACGCCTATCCCACTACATACAAGAATGTATGTATATAGGCTGGCTTGCCTGATGCGCTGGAGCTGCACCACGACTGGCAGCCCCCTGCACACACACACCGAAAAGCGACTTGGAGCAGACGAACTCATGTTGAATCCACCCATCTCCACTGGACAGGCAGGTAGGTGTACGCCCAGGCGTCGGCCAGGGATCTGGGGGAAACGAAAGGGCCATGCCGCGGCAAGCATGCTGGCTATTCGTCTATTGGACGTGGCGACTTTGGCAAAATAACTGACGTGGTCGACGATTCTCGACTTCTTCCGGGCGACGCTGCAATGCTGGTCTGGCCCGTAAGAGCTCCCAGACAGCCTGGTTATGCCATAGCGGGGGAGGGGCAAGGCCATCACGACCATCTTTTTCACCGATTTCCAACAGAATGCGGTTGATTCCCCATTTTCGGCCAATGGCCATCGGGATGGCCAGAAGGCCTGAGCGAATTAGGTTCGCCTGGGCTTGTAGATGGTCCTTAATATCCAGTGAGAGGGCGGCGGGGTCCGAAGCCTGAGTGCAACCCAAGACGTTGGAAAAAAAGAAGCGGCGCTGTAGAAGCTGCCACTAGCATTTTTGCGTTCAGGTGGCCCAGGTCCGGCCAGAAAAGGTTCTGTAAGTTGTGTGCTTGCCTCAGGTGCTGCAGAAGATGGTGCTCCTGGCGGTGAGCAACTAGGTACCTATGAATCTACATCTACCTACAGGTAATTAATTGACAGGTAAAGATTTACTAGATACCTAGTACTATATAAAAGTAAAGTGCAGTTAATTAATTAACGTTTCTCTTCCCCAGTACCCCATGCCTGTATATGGCACCGAGCACCACCTGTGGCAAGGGATACGCGGCGTAATAACGCCTGTAAGCTGCATATCGTATTTGCCAATGCCGGCAGCAGCACAAGGTAGCGTTCAGAGGATGCATGTTGCTGCTACTGCTGCATCAGAAAGAGCTTGGGAACAGGTCCAATGGGGATCTTTTCCGGCACGAGATTATTCATTTTGTTTTATTTAGCAAGAAGCCGAGTGGCATCGTGTCTGAGTAATATCAGTGTCGAGGCAGTTACTGTTAGCCATCGACATGAACACCAGCAATGAGTCAAAACATGGAGTCTATTATAGTACCTCTTAATGTAGGTACACATCTGTGGTGGTAGCACGGGGGTAGCACCTTGGTCTTACTGCAGCCACTCCCACCCGCATCAAATCTTCTCCCTTTCGGAACATGCTCTGGCGGATATCTTGACAACGCATCACCACCACCCCAGCCAGAAGAAGCGCGGAAAACGGACGCGAAGAAGAGCAGAAAACGAACAAGAAAGAAACTGCTGCACTCCTGCCTGACCCGCTGCCACGCCTTGCCTAGATCGTCCTGCAGTCCGCCGCACTTCTTTGCAAAAGAGAAAAAAAAAATGCACAGACGCTGTGATCCGATGGGGCCCTCGTGGCGTCGTTAGAAAAAGCAGCCAACCATCAGCCTCTCGGGATGCGCAGGGGCAAGACAGAATCCAGCGCTGCTTTTGGCACCCGCCTTGTTTCGCGTGGAACTAGCGTCGCCGCGCTTGTTTGACAAGGTCTGTCTGTTTCTGTCTTGCTGCTCTTACTTCTCCTACTCCCAGCCAATGCCGCAGCATACACCAGCTAACATAGCTCCAGACCCAGAACCGCTTGAATCGACCGTTCTGTCATAGGTAGCTTTAGCAGTCCACCCTCTTCACCAGGTTGCCTCTTTTTCGGCTTCCCGTCATCTTCCCTTCTCGTCTACGGCATGGCGTGTCCTCGGCCTGCAGATATCCTGCCCGCCTCTCCGCCGCCTTATCCTGACCGTGTCTGGGTAGTCTAGCACGCACTTTGCCTCGCGTAGGCAAAAATCATGGCTTCTTTGATGCCCCCCCCCCCCCCCCCTGAGAGCCCGTGTGTCTGTCTCCATCAGTTCCTTGCTGTTGGACCCAAATGCTTAGTGCTGCCACCCTTTTCTTCTTCGCCTGGCTGGGATACTTATCCGGCCATGGCCATTTTATTTACTAGCACCTACCAGTAAACAATCTAGCTATATCCCACGCTCGGATTGACTCTCCGTCATGCTCCGTCCCACACCCATCCCTGGCCCTTCCTTGGCACCGCTGCTCTTTGGATATCGATATGCTCGGTTTTCCCACTTATACACACCGCGTCTAATCTAACAATGGCACTGGCTCCACAGATCGGGGTCTTTACAGCTTTGCCTCTTCCCGGCATATGCGGGTATGGACAACCTCTAGTGTATTTTTTTTTTTCGAACCTGAAGCGGTACTCGGTCTAGTCCAAGTTGTTTCTCATCATTGCACCACCGCACCATGTAATGCCTTTACCTCATCGAGTTCACGTTATGTTCTATTCCCACCCTACCCCTTCTCTCACCTTGCCTCTCAATTCCTTATTCTGGTTGGTTGAACTAACAATGGCAGCCTGGGTAATGCGTACTCGGCCTCTATAGAGGATCTGGCCCACAGCCACGCCTCCCCCCTTGCCAAGTACTCCCTCGGCTTACACTCTGCAAGTCTCCATGGTCGTCTCGTCCGCGATAGCGCCATTGCTTCATGCTCGTCTGCCTGCTATGTATTCACCACAGGCGGGGTCGAGGATAGTCGGCCCCGGCGAATGATGGCATGTTCTCTTATCCCTTTGACTAGGTTGACGTGACCGGGGAGAGTTTGAAAAAGTATAAAAGGAGCCGTTTTGTTCAAGTCGAGCTTGATTTTTCTTCTTCCTTTCGCATCACTTTTCTCCAGCACTCTTCACTCATCTTGCCAAGTTCATATATTATACCATTCGAGGATAAGACCGTTGTCTTGAACCATATCACTATACCAAGTCTTATACTTGACTCAACACTCGGACACTTCTCTGCTTCATCGCCTCCTCTAAACAAGCTTCAACCATCTCAACACTCATCATGTCTGGCCCATTCCAAACTGCTGCTATGCCCATGGCCGTTCCTTCAAAAGCCACTCAATACCCCACTTACAGCCAATATTCCAGCTCTCCACCAGAATGCGATGAGACTATGAGTGCAGCTTCTGGTGTTCCCTCTGGGTATTCAGCTACCTCTGCTGGTTACGTCGGTAGCTCTAGTGGCGACTATGAAAGCACCGGCTCCGCTAGCGGCGTCGATTTCCAAGAGTATATGCAAGACCGCTTCTCTAACTCCTTCGACCCCATCCCTCTTGATCGGAGCATGGCCGTTCAAGCACAGACGTAAGTACCTGAGCCCCAATGTGATCGGCAACTTTTTTTTTTGTCAGGTCAAAGAGGCTTTGTTTTGTCCAGCATGGCCTTTCGGACACATTGGCAGAATCGAGCTAAAACGGTGGCCTCAAACTAGTTCCGGCAAACTTAACGCCAAGCACCGCGAACTCCTGGAGCTGCAAAAGCAGGCCCAGGCGCGCCTTGCAAGAACTCGTGAACGGTTCTCCGAGGGAATGCGCGATGCGCGAGAGGTCCGCAACGACCTTGAGTGGACCCAGAAGAAAGTTTCGTAAGTCTCTTCACCCCCTCTTTCTTTGTTTAATGAAAATCAAAATCTCCCCACGGTGGCGACGGAGCCGCAGAATCAGATCAGATTTAGTGGTCCTCTTTATTGGAAAGAATTGTAGCTAATTTCTCTACCAATAATCAGGGCTTTGAACGCAAAGGCCGCGCGGAAGCACCCCAAGGAGTACACGAAAGCTCGCCAACGCTTTCCTTCTCCCGAGTACAACTAAGGAAGCATTGATATGCAGCCTTTTTTTTTTCCTTTTCTTTATTTCTCAATATTTGGGGTTTTCCGGCGTTTCAGAAAAGCGATTTCCATCACCCTCAGCGATAACGGCTATCTATATTCACGACCAAAAGTTACATCTTTTCGGCCACATTTTACATTCTGGGCAGTTTTAGCTGTGGAAACGTCCGCTCACGTAGCATGAACTGACGTTGAAAATTGGCGCGAACCGCGCGGCAATCTTGCAGGGTTGGATGCCAGATCTCCCGCTGCTTTACCAGCCCTACGACCGGGCGGTTCTACCCACCACAAGCCCCGTTTTGGCGCTGCGACGGTGTGGGGGTGAGAAATGGGAAACTTACGACAATAATGATTTATGATTGGGTAATTTGTGACAATTGGCAGAGCATGGCCGAAATGTACACTCCTCTCTGAGGGCTGCAGGAAGATCAAGGGACCAAACCAGCCATTTCGTGCCCACCACGAGGGCTGCAGGGTCCCTGGGCCTTCTTGGAACTCCCTTCTCCACTGGGGGCGTGTAATGACCTGGAGCGAGCAAACAAGCAGAGGCAGAGAGATGTGAGCGTATATGGAGGCGCCTTTCCTATTGGGGATGATATATTGCTGCATTGGGTATCGGCGGGAACTGAAGGCAAGGAGGTACTACTCTATTTGGCGGCGTTGGCGTATCTTTGGACACCCTGGAGTCTATCGCTAGATCATGACATCGTTTGTAAGCTTTTGTAGGCAATAAAATACCCTTTGCGGTCTTCAAAGACATGATGATGGCTCACTCAGCCGGTCTCCAAGGCGTGATGGTGTCCCGTATCCCTCGTACACGCCGTGTCGTAGCCGTAGTGGCCGAGACCGTCCCGACGTAGATACTGAAGCCATCACCAACCCAAGCAAAAGGCCTGTCGTCATCTCACCACGGACGACGAAAGATCCTGGGTGGTTGAAAGTTTCTTCCGTCTTAGTTGAAGACATCACGTGATTGTGAAACTTGATCAGTAAAGGATGATAGGATGGGAACAATAAACTCTGAGCTAGGCCCGCAAAACCAGGGCGCCCGAAATATATGCGATAGATATTGCTGTACTGTTCGCAGGATAGGTCTTGCAGTGTTGGGTTTGTTTCGAATGCAATTGATCCCCGAGGTCAATATAAATATGGCGCCTGCACACCGTAAACCCGGTTGGGATAGCTGACTGGCTTCATGTCGAAGCACTTGCTCAATGACCGCTAAGAGAGATATGTGCCCATGGGCTGTAGGCCTTTTGATCCCTCCAGTCGTTTCCACGGATTCTCATTTGACTTGGGGTCGTAATATCCCTCATACCAGGTGTGATTCCGTGAGCCATCCTGGTGGTGCCCGTGGCCACCCTGATGACCGCCTGGTGACCCAATAAACCCGGTCCCTGGAACAGGGCGCTCCGGTAATCCATGAGGGCGCACTAACGCCGCCGGGGTCTCTGCAGGTTCGGGAATCTCAGCTGGATTTGACGCGATATCGTCATCGTCATTGTCAACTCCATCTTCATCCTCGTCCAAGTCAATCTCATCAGCATTGGCGGCGGCCTGATTGGGCTTGCTGCTTGGTACACCGAGAGGTGTGGAGTTTGAGCCCGTGGCGGAGGCTTTGGCAGCGCGCTGGGCGGTCTTGGAGTCCGACCTTATGACTGCGTCGGCGTGAGGGTTGTATTTGCGCTTCTGGGGCCGGTTTTGGTGGCCGAAAGATGAGAAGCCCATGGCCTGGGCCATGGCTTCGTCGTCCAGGGGCGTATCCATTTACCGGATGTGGGAGCTAACCACGCTCTATAAGGCGAAAAAGAACAAAGAAAATTGCGGCTGAATGGTGTGGATTGCCGTGAGAGGGGATATTAGAGGTGAATTTATCTCTTGCAATGAGATTTTTTTCATGCCACGGTGACAGAAAGGCTCGTGGTAGGTTCTTACTGCAATCTAAGGTCACGCGTCGTGGACACTTTTCAGCCTCCAATAGAGATTTGGCACTTCGTATAAAGTGGGGCTAGTAGGTATGCTCTGATAGGTGAGACGGTGATGCGCGGCTACCCTGGATCAGATGGAAGAAAGTGTGGCACATGTACTTGGATTGTAATTCTCTTGTTCGGGACTGTTTATTGTATTTCTAACGAGGTTATAAACAAATTTTCTACGGTTGGTGCAGCTGGGTAACTATCTGCAGTGGCTAATATGAGTTATCAGCTGTGTTTATTAAGCGGCGAGTTCCTCTCAGTTGGACATGTGCATTGACGCAGCTACCGCCAATGGATCTACCATGCTTACCGTTTCATATGAGACATCAAGCTGGCATACATTACATGGCCCTTTCTAGAATTTTATCTGGACAATCTTCTGTCCAATGTCGATACCAGGACTCTACACATGCAAACCTCATCAAATCCAATGGAAACCTCAAATTCTACAATTCAGCTCACGCTGCCATCCAGATACTCCTCCGCCAAGCCTGAGCCTGCTACACAAACCACACCCCCTATCGAGTGGTTCATCAGAACATGGACCGTGACGCACTCAACCCTCTCCATGTGGCGCACAGCGCGTAACGTGCGCATCACCTACAAGGCCCTCCCTCCTAAACCAGACGGCCGCGTGCGCATCGACGATCTCGTAGAGTACGAGCCCAGCAATCAAGCCGACGTGGTCAAGTCCGTGGCCGGCATAGACACGCAGAGCCCCGACGGCGGCTGGGACTGGCGCGGCAAGAGGTGGCTCTTCTTCGTGAGCAGCCATTGGGAGGTTCTGGGGTCCGGCGAGGAGACGACGGCGGATGGCGAGACAGAGAGATGGGTGGTGACGTGGTTTGCGCCGACGCTGTTTACGAAGGAAGGATTGGATATTTACAGTGATCGGAGGGAAGGGCTTAGTGAGGCGACGTATAAGAAGATTGATGAGGCACTGAGGACGTTGGATGCGAAGGTGTTGGTTGATATGGTTGCGCAGGATATGAAGCCTGTTGAGATAAAGTTTCCATGGAAGGAGATTTCCTAATGTATCTGGGATAATGTATGTGATGTGATTTATAGAATTCAATAGCTGGAGAATTTGTATAATGGTATAATCGTCATAATTCATTAAATAACATTTGATATAATCCGTCAATGAAGCCCGCCAATAGTTTGCGAATTTTAATCCATGTCTCACCTTTCATCGTGTCTATGTCGGTGCCCCCTCCAATCCGGTGAGCACGACCGTGAATCGCGATGCCTCTTTCGCCGCTCCTCCTCTTTATGCCTTCTTCTCTCACGATGATCGTCATGGCGCCCACGCGAATCCGTATCTCTCTCTTTTGACCGCGCCCTTCTCGACTCATGCCTCTGGGCATCTGAATAGCCTCTCCGTTCTCGTCGCTCTCTTTCCGAATGCCTATCTCGATGCCTATCACGATGGCTTTCTTTGCGCAGCTGTCTGAGTTCCTCATCCCTCTCCTCTTGTATTTTTCTGCGCTCTTTTTTCAACTCTCTAACCTGCATAGCCCCTTTCTTCATCATAGCTAACGGATCGTTGGAATTGATTCGCTGAGTGTCGCGAGTCTTGCGATCGGGATCGTTTTGTCCCCAGACGTTTTTTGCAGAGACATCTGGGGCGACTCCTTCGCCATGTGAGTACCAAGGCTGACTGATTCCATCTTTGCCAGCGGCGTTGGAGAATCGCATCGTATACTGGTCTTCATATTCTCGTTCTTTCTTCTTCCTCTCCGCTTCTGCCTCCTGGTTCTTCTCTGCATGCGCTCTGGCTCGCTCGTCGCCAAAGAGGTCAATGTGTCCTGCATGGTCGACTATCGGGGCTGAGCTCGCCAGTTTGCGGCCGGATTCCACGACTGCGTATGCCGCATTGTTCCTCTCCTTTGCTAGGCGTAGCTCGAACTCGGTATCGTTCTCCCCGGGCCGCTTTCTCCTCTTGCGACCGCTGCCTGTGAAATTTGAGCGCGCATCACCAGAGGTATCTCGCGCTTTTTCTGATTCGGCCTCGCATTCGTCTTCTAATGGGGGTGGTGCCTCGCCACGCAGAATCGCTAATCGTCTTTGAGCATCGACTTCTTGCATGCGCTGTTCTTCGGCTTGCTCTGCGGCCTTGGCGGCCGCCTCATCTCTTCGGACGCGTGCAATGTTGTCGGCATTGTAGACATTCCATGACTTTTTACCTAGCAGATGACTGTAGTCACATTCATGTTAGCGACAAAGGATAGATGGGAAAGAACATGTAGGATATCGTACAGTGGCATATTGAAATTTGCGATGCTCCGTCTCTGGCAATCAACGAAGCTTGTGATCGCCGCTCTTACTTATCAGTCTCTCAGAGCCCTTCGATAAGGCCGCGAGAAGCAGGAACGTGGGGCTGAGTGGCGGCGATGACACTACCACTAACCTTGATTAGGCAGTGTGGCGCCCCGCCATCAAGCTCCAGCATGTCTTCTTTGCCGTTACGTTTACCCTTACGCATCGCCCAGTGCTGTTTCAACATTGCGCTCTCTTTCTTTTTCCTCCCATGCCCACGATCACACACGATTTTGTCTTTGTTCCTCCGATTAGAGATTTGAAATACAGCAACAGAATCGTTTTGTTTTAACCACTTCCTAATTAACCCTATCCAAACCTTCTGCCACCATGTCTAGAGCCCCTCCATCAGGCGGTAACCCCGGTCGGTCCATGTTTGGCGGCATGGGACTGCCAGGAGGCAATCCTCGAGTCCCTCCTAGCCAAGGCCAGCGACCGCCTTCTTCCGGCTCATACCAGCCCTATGGAGGTGCACCGCAGGCAGGATACGGCGGACCTAGCTCACCAGGCAGGTCGCGATTTAGCGAGAAGGGGCCGTCTGGCGGCGGCCGAGTAGTCCAATTGCAGGTCGAGAAGGTTGCGGACAAGACTCTGCAATCGAGACTTATCTACGGAAACGTGTAAGTGACGTTGTATATTCCATGCTAAGAATACCATCTGATATGCCGGACTAGTTGTGCTGTGTCTGCCGAAGACTTCCCTCCCCGACCTGACCGCTCCGATTATTATATCCTCCTCCGCGCGGGCCAGCCTCCTGGGGAGTTCGTTGTTACCGCCACGCCTATCCCTGGATTTCCGCGAGGCTGCATCAGCTTATCCGACCCCCAGCGTACATGGTGTGGCGTTGCTATGAGAGACGTCTTCACCGGCGAGGTCTATGATCCTTTCGCGTCTGGCGGCAAGGCATACCTGGGCTCTCTAGATTTAGAGATTGGGTTCGCTTCCCCAACGAAGAAGACCGAAGTTCCATACGATGAAGACGAATTAAGCAAAATCTTTCTCAATACTTTCCAAAATCAGATCCTTGCTCCTGGGCAGAGAATCCTAATGGATGTTCGAAACATCCCGCTCATGATCGTTGTCAAAACTGTTGGATTGGTCGACTTGTCCACAGCAGATGACGCAGGCAGACAGGTTCAGCGGGAATCTCACGCCAGAGGAATTCTGACCAACCAGACCCGGGTTTTATTCCACCGGGATGCAAAGGGAGAATTTAACCTCAAACCATCGGCCACGAAGCCAAACTCCAATGCCATCTTGGCACCGGATTTCAAATTCGAGGACATGGGAATTGGTGGCCTGGGAGATGAGTTTTCTACCATTTTCCGTCGTGCATTTGCATCTCGTGTTTTCCCGCCTGGCTTGGTTGCCAAAATGGGCATCCCACACGTCAGGGGAATGCTTCTTTACGGTCCTCCCGGAACGGGAAAGACGTTGATCGCGAGACAGATTGGTCACATGCTCAACGCCAGACCGCCAAAGGTCATCAACGGTCCTGAGGTATTGAATAAATATGTCGGTCAGTCCGAAGAGAATATTCGCAAACTCTTTGCAGATGCCGAAAAAGAGTACAAAGAAAAAGGAGATGAGAGTGGCCTTCATATCATCATCTTCGATGAGTTGGATGCTGTCTGCAAGCAGCGTGGATCTGGAGCCGGCGGCGGTACTGGTGTTGGTGACAGTGTTGTCAACCAGCTTCTTTCGAAGCTGGATGGTGTTGACCAATTGAACAACATTCTTTTGATCGGAATGACGAATCGAAAGGATATGATCGACGATGCCCTTTTACGACCTGGCCGTCTAGAGGTTCATCTCGAAATTTCTCTCCCTGATGAGGAAGGACGACTGGAAATCCTCAAGATTCACACCTCAAAAATGAGCACCAACGGTATCTTGGACCCGAACGTCAACTTTGAGGAGCTGGCAGCGCTTACCAAGAACTATTCCGGTGCTGAAATCAACGGTCTTGTGAAAGCAGCAGCCTCCTTTGCCTTCTCACGACATACAGAAGTGGGACAGCTTGCGGCAGTGAAGAACGACGTTGCGAACATGAGGGTAAACCGTGATGACTTTATGAATGCCTTGACGGAGGTTCGTCCCGCCTACGGAGTGTCCGAGGCTGAACTTGAAGAGGCGGTTAGATTGGGCGTGATTCCTTATGGTCCGCATATCGAACCTACTATTCAGGAGATGATGCGCGTTGTGGGTATGATCAAAGAGGACCCCAATAAATTTAGCACTTCCGTGCTTTTCCATGGTCCAAGATCTTCCGGAAAGACAGCTTTGGCAGCGCATATTGCTATGCAATCGGGATTCCCCTTTGTCAAGCTGGTGACGCCGGCTGACCTAGTGGGCTACCGAGACGAATTTGCCAAGAAGGACTACGTTCACAAGGCGTTTGCGGATGCCTACAAATCACCCTCCAGTATTCTCATCCTTGACGATTTTGAGCGGTTGATTGGCTGGAACCCGATTGGACCGCGATTTTCCAATGTCATGCTCGAGGCCCTGACTACACTCATCGTGTCAAAGCCTCCCAAGGTAAGAAAACAAACTACAATACCTGATTTTTGTAGAAAGTTCTTTTGGCTAATCTCTATTGGTAGGGACATCGACTTCTTATTTTCGTAACAACATCAAAGGCTTCGGTGCTCAAGATGCTCGAAGTTGATCAAGATTTCGCCAAAAAGGTTGCTGTACCAGCAGTTTCAAATCTACGCGAACTGGCTGTTGTCCTTCACGAATCCAGAGTTTTGAGCTCAGCGGATGTCAACCAAACCATAAATATCATCCAAGAGCGTACAGGATCAGAGTCGGTGGCTGTTGGAGTCAAGACTGTTCTAGACTGCATCTTCGAAGCCAGAGCTGGAAGTGGCACCAGCAACGTAGTGGAAACACTATCAGATCTTTTGGTTGAGAATATACAAGAGATGAGACTTTAGGCGTCTTTACATACATACACATACAATGGGAGGAAAATATTTATAATGCCGTAATGGCTTGGTCATATAAGACTATATATTGAATAATAAAGTATAAATAGATAGAAGGTCTGGACAAGCATTTCTCGACCTCCAGCGCCCTATAACTACATACTCATTTCGTTTCTTTCTCTAAATTCTATGTCCTGCCTTGTACGCTTTAATCTTTTGAACTGGCCCTCTCCTTTTGACAAACGCAGGGGGCCACTGCGAAGTGTGTAGATCAAAAATTTCCATGGCAACAGCTGCGCGGAAATGTCGGTCGTAGCTTTCATCCATTGTGCCACATCTCTCTAAAATGGCAAAAGTTATACCTATCAATGCCAGTAAGAAGAGGCAGGCGCTGCAGGGCGTTGAAATAACTACATGCTCTGCCCCTTCATCGGCATGCATAATGAGATCGGTTCTCTAGGTATGGAGGGGCATATAGCAGCCCGAACGAGGCACGGGAGGCTAAAGCCGAGCTTTTAGAAGACTGCGCAGCCACGGGTAGCTGGGTGGCCAGGATCGTTTGAGGACCCGTGCAATTGGTTTGCCGATATGAGGGTGGGCACGGAATCTGATTACCGTGAGATGGGCTCCGCTTAAACTCTTCTGCAGCGCAGACGGGCACTAGCTGGTTATCGTATCTGCAGAGTGAGTACGGTAATACTAAGTTACAGTGTTCGCCGCATGGGGCGGCAGTAAACCACTCTTTTTCATTTTCATTTTTTCGGCTTTTGTGAAGCAGCTCTGATTTGAGACACACATCTTCAGAGAACCATACGAGGATGCGGTGATGGTGGTGAGACATTTTGACAGCTAGAGTAGCACTGCTAATTGGAATATGGAGGCCTGGCCAGGGTTTTCCTTTGCTGTTGCGGTGCTTGCAGCAAATTAGACACCGAATACTTGGGTCTTGCAAAGCAACAGCATGGAGTTGGGGCTACCGACTTGGCATGGTGTTGGTATTATTCTGACTGATCACAAAGCTTGAGCTCTTCTCCCTACTGGGGAGGGGGGCCATCGTATTAGAGTACAGGTACGGAGGAGTGAGAAAGAATGTCACGTATGGAGTAGCGTAGCAATTGCTCATCTTATCGGAAAAGAAGGTTCTCAGTCGATGCGCGTATGAACTTTTTTTTCCCTTCCTTCCTAGTTCTTACTTGGGATTGCTCGCAACTCTTGCCGTGGGGGCCATCTATACTCGCCCGGGCATTTATGGTTTAGCACTTCGGTCACGTAGTCGGTATTAGTAGTATACTGTTTGAGAGCGTAGCATCTAATAAATCTGGAGACAGAATACGGACCGGGCCTCGTGGACTAAGGCCCTCAACCCCCCTGCTACACATTCCCTGAGAGGGAAAAATAAAAGGGAAGCGAATTTCCCACTGTTTCGGATTCAGCATGGTTGCTTTGCTAGAAAGCCAAAATAACCCGGCATCCAGTTTCTCGGTGCTGGGATGTCACTCGTGCCTTTTTGTCGTTTCCTGTACTAGTCTAGTAAAATGGTGTTCAGCAGAGAGGCAAAATAGGAAACAAAAAGAGAAAAGCCTCATTATCTCGCTTGATTCAGAGCTGATCGGCTTCCCGGTAGGTTGGCCACGGTCTCAGTTGGAAGGAGCATGGAAGAAGAGATGCTGGTAGGGATGCCATGGACCTGCCCCTTCTTCATTGGCTAGACCGGTTTCCACCGTTGGTGGTTTGAGATGAGATGTGGGGCTAGGAAGACGCCGGGTGGGTTCCCGGAACGGTGGCCGGGGAATCCGCCGGGTGCGTGCGAGAAGAAGAAGCATGCAGAGATGATTTAGGCCTCAGTTATTGCTACTGTTAATGATACTAGTATCATTACGGAGCACGGAGTATACATACATACATACACACATACAGTATATGCATGGTTTGGGAAGAGAAATCCAACTAGGTGGGCCGTGGACGCGTATAATTTCTGTTGGCGATGCTTCTCTCTGCGCGCATCACCAGATACCGTCGCATAACCTGCTTGGTGGGGTTATGGCCTGACGAGTAGTACGTAGCAGCTCGTGAGAGTTATTGTATAGACTCTATGCTTCCATAATTGATGTCACTGGTTTCGTATCCATAGTGCAAAAGCATAATCTGCCTACCTATGGAGCTTACACTCGTTCTATAGCGTTCTATAAGAGTGGCGTTGGAGAACAGAATTTACGCCACTTCAGGACCCAACCATAGTCCAACCCCCTCCTTTTCTACCTCAAATCTTCCCCTTTTCTCCCCTCCTTCTCTGATATATTGCCCGATGTGAGATTTGCTTACCGCATGCTCGTAAAAGACCACCTTGGACCAGCTCATATATCGTTTTTGGAGTTCTCCGTTTTTTGCCGCATTTGTGTGCCTCGCGTGCTCGCCAGCTCAGCTGCCGTCGCTACCAGCGCCATTTTCTACCAACTACGGAGCACGCGAGGAGCTGCCACCACTGCTTAGCAGTGCTTAGCACTGAGTAGCGCCACTACTAGTAGTACGCCATTCGCCTGTAAATCCTCTCATTAGCCTAGGAGGCCGCGGAAGGCGGTCCGCGCATGGCACGGCCAGGGCGAGCCGACCAGCTGGATACCGCAGGACGCCTCTTACTGGCGGGAGCTGGAAGTCGACGAGTAATGTGTCCAAGAAGCCAAGAATCGCGCCTCGTAACGCACAAAAGTATGGTATGCTTCTACAACTGCTAGTACTACATAGAGTATGAAGTATATAGTATATGGCAGCACTAGGGGTTGTGAGATGGTTGCCCTGGTGTGCTATCTAGGTAGCAATTTGGCTTTTAAGCTTTGGCGAACGCTAACCGATGGTTTCTCCCGGCGCTCTGGGCCGCTGTATTCTGGGTGCGTCAATGCTATTGTTCGGCTGGGATCAGGCGTCAATGGTGCCAAGCGCTACCAGCAGAGAGGCTCTGTCTCAATGCATGTAGCCGACAGCTGGGTGGGTGTCGTGCCGCTGCGACACAAGCCAGTGATATGACGGCATCTCATCTCATCGATGTGCTGAAGGTTTATACAGCACTCGTAGAGTTGCCGCAACGATGTATGTATGACGTTGCACCAGCAGCTGCACACGCCGAGCTTCTGCGACCATCACCATGTACAGTACATATATTTGTAGTACTAAGGTACGCAAGCGGCAGGCTGTCGTGCGGAGCGGCAGACGCTCTCATCCGCTGCCATGTCGGAAACAGCCCTTGGCAGCGCCGATCCTGGAGTGCGAAACGCCTTGGTTGACGTGCATTGACGTCCAACACCTAGTTGCGTCGTAGAATTGCGAGGGCAAGCGTGCATGGAGTATTACGGAGTGCATGCACTCTATCCCAGGCTCTTGGGCCGCGGTTTGCCTTGCCCCTTCCGGGATCGCTAGTTACAGGACGTCGGACTGCGACTGCGACTGCGACTGCGACTGCATCTGCGTGTTTGCTTATACAATCGCCGCAGAGCATTGTTGCTTTTATACACTGCCGCATCCATAAATTAGTGATACCAGAAGTCATTGCTGTGCCTGCATCTGCACGCACATTCAACGGCGATGCGACCTGTAGCAAAATGCGGGCAGTGCGGCCACCCATCTGGACGCAGCGAGTGCTTGCTCGCATCTCATCTCAATCGCACATGAAGGTGCATGGCCGGCCCCCGCCTAGACCGGTCGGGGGAGGCTTCGACCGCTAGAACCTAGACCTCGCCCCCCCGTCAGCCACTAGACGGACAGGCCTCTTAGCCAGGGTCAGGCCCTGAGCGCGCGCCCTGACAGGCCCAAACGCACGCGGCCTGCCCACTGTGCTTGGATCCTGCACGCACTAAGATTTGCCGGCGCAGGTACGTACCGGCCACGATGGACTGCACTCCCTCGCAGAGACATCGCCCGCCAAATTCTCTTCTCCCCCCCAGAGCGCCGGCCCTCGCGAGGCGGCAGGGCAGAAACCCATCGGTTTGTGCCATCCCGGCCCCAACGAAGAACCAACGCACGATACTGCAAGATTGCAACCACCAGACATTATTTCGCACCTACGCTTGCACCAGCGCCTCTGCATACTGCCTGATTTGTATATCCACGACGAGGCCCCGGAAGCTTCGAGTCCTGGTCCTGATCGCATCGTATCCCTGGGTCCCTGCCTAGCTCTTTCTCTGCTTCCGCCGCGGTGATGCCTGTCTGCAACTGTCGTGCCCTGTGCCGTGGCTTCGCAAAGTTTTGACCACTCGCCGACTCAACCTCCCGATCCAAGACACAAACAGGAGCGACGCCATCGCATTGACGCCGCAACCTTAACTTGACCTACCTACGACATACGATTTGATTCGATACGACACGATTCCCTCGATACGATCCCGAGTCACTGAACGCACAGCGGTACTGGCCAGGCCGACTGTCTGCTCTCTGAACCATCCTCCATTTCGTCCCTGCATGGCGTCAGTCGGTAAGTACAAACATGCCTCGCTCGCTCTGTCCGTGAGCTTCTGCCTTGACTCGTCTCTCGGCCTGTTTGGCGCACACCTGTTGCCACCACCGATTGCATGTCCTCCGCCATTTGCGCCGGATTGCCACGCTGTGGACGCCGTGCCATTTGTTGTCGCGACACGATTCGACTGTCGTCTCCCTGCTTCGAGAATTTTCTCCTCACGTCAATTCCCAGTGGCTGACAATCTTTTGGTTATTTTTTCTTCTTCCCAGGAGCGATAGCTTTGAGCAGCACGAGCTCTTCCCTGTCATAGCATTGGATGGACCATGGATACCGCCGAGCCTCCCCTTGCGGCGGCCCGGCCATCCTACGGAATGCGGTCGAGGCCGTCGACGAAGCGGCGCAAAGTACCACCACTAAAAACATTACAACCCACAACTCAAAGTGCTGGAACACAAGATGATAATGGGAAGATACTGCCCCCTGGGAAGATATCAGACGCGAAAGATGCGTCGCCGCCGAAGCCACCAAGCAAGGTTATGCGAAAAGCGTCGACTACTGGCCGACCTATTGTGCCGCTGACTGAGCAGAAATCGCTGGATAGGACACTGTCAAAGGGAAAGCGAGATGGAGAATCTGATGGTTGGGACGTTGCGCCAGACGGCGCTTCTGCCGGTCGTCAAGGGCGCCAGTTCACCGTTGCCAACGTGGGGAATAACGGGAGGCTTTTTTTACGGTATGGAAGTAGCCGAGTTTGAATACTATATCGAAACCACATGGGCTAACATTGCTATTTCTAGACCATCTGTCCGGCGTGCAAACAAGAGGTACCCCCAGCCAAACTTCACCTTTCCCATAACACCACCTGGAACTGCTGGGCTGGAGGGAGTTTATCCAGACAACCTAGACGAACCGCCTAGATTGACGACGGATCATCACGAAAATCAATTCACCCCTACGCCCAGAACATCGATTATTCCCCCACAATACGCCCCCGATACTAGTGGCTTTGTAACGACTACGCAACACCGTAGAGCAGTGTCGGATGGTACGATCCGTGACTTTAATTCTCCCACAAGTACCGATGCGGACGGGTACAGAATCGTCATCACAAAGCCGCCTCACGATGACGGCCGGCCCAAAACGGCGGAGAACCCAGCCGATCTGGATATTGGCGGTATTCCGACACTTAATATTAATATCCCATCCTGGAAGCTAGGGACGCCACGGTTCTCTATGAGAGGTACCCCGATGCTTAGAGGCTCGTCCTATGCTGCTACCGATGAATACCGATCTGCCAGTCGCTCGTCTATGTACCATTCTTCGGAGAGGAGCCTCGGCGGACCGCTCTCTAGCACAAGGCCAAGACCTAGCCATCTTGTCATCCCGAAGCTTCGCTTTCCGCGAACCTCACATGCCTCGTCGCAAACCTCAACTCGCGTACCACGACCTGTGCCCTCTACATACGCATCTGCGCATCTTGTCATCCGGCCAGCCATGTACGATGAGCTCACATTCAAGCCCGCTTGTGATGATAAGTCAATAGTGCGATACTCGCCTAACGGATCCGTGACTGCAGCGACGCCCTCTCGACTTGTTGCCGAGATCACATCTCCAAGCTTCCTGGACTACGAACTGATCTCGGATTTCTTCTTGACCTACAGATCCTTTCTTGAGCCCCAGATCCTCCTCCAGATGCTCATGGCAAGGCTCGTATGGGCTTTGGAACGCACTGACGAGGTTGGAATGATTGTTCGCGTTCGAACGTTTGTCGCCATGAGACACTGGATCCTCAACTACTTTGTGGACGACTTTGTCCTAGACTATGATCTTCGACTCCTCTTCTGTATCTTGCTCAACGACTTTGTCGATGAGCTATCTCAGGATATGAACCAGAGCAGAGTTCAGCTCAAGATTTTGGCGGAGCTCAAAAAGTGTTGGCGACGGATATGTGCTCATTATTGGGATGGCCCTGAATTTAACGATGGCCTAGAACCTCTAATCCCAATTGCTCCAGGAGGCATCGCTGGATACAGAGATCCCAGCTTGGATCCCTCTTTTTGGGAAATACAGGGAATGGATCAGCCACAGTGGCGTGCCGTGGCAGGCATCCCGCAAGGATTGAGCGATGAGACCAATCCAAGTGAAACAGTCCCTAAGCCGGCCAGTATCGACGAATTTATCACTATGGACGATCGTCCGGAGACTCCTGAACATCAGATCATCACCACCACGACACCAGCAAATGGGCCGTCTTCGCCTCTTAGCATAGCAAGCATGGATATCGTGTCTTGTTCCTTTCCAAGTAAGAATGTGAGGTCTCTGAATCCAAACTCCAGTCAGCCTCTAGCAGCCCATCCTGTGTACTCAACGTCTCCTATCCTCCCGCCCGGAGCTATTGCTACTACTCCCAAGGCGCTTGCTGGCAAGCGCGTTCGTCCGGCACAGAGCCACAAGCGCAATAACAGCACCTCTGATTCTTTGAGGGAACATGGCTCAGATCATTCCTCGTCACATGATGTCGACTTGCACATGATTCTGCAGTCTGCTGGAAACCTTGTTCGAGGCAACATTCTTCCACCTGGCCAGCCTTTTGTCGACATCGAAGCTGAAACGCCCACTGGTGATCGCAACAGGCAGACCACCATCTTTCAGCCTGTGTCTCGCCACGCCACCAAAGACCGGATCTTTGGGGTTGCCATGTCGGGATCTGGGATGAAGAAGTTCTTGGGAGGCGTACGGCGCGCATTGAACAATCGGGGCCAATGGTCGTCCGGATCGCATTCTAGTTTGCCCGCTGTCACTTCTCTTAGTGCGCACACCATCGCAATGGACCGATTGCCTGCAGCGACTATTATTGCCCAGAGTGGCCATGGCCCGACCAGCATTCGGCCGCAAGTGAGAATCGATCTACTTGGGGCTGAAGTTGCTGAAGATTTCAAGAGAGCTATCCGTGAGGAAGAGGAAGCTGCCGAAGCGGAACGATTAGGCGCACCAAGACCGGCTCCACCCGCTGTCCATGGTCCTATGGAATATTCCGCCGCACATATGGAGTCTACCACAGTTGATAATTTGCTTCAGGATCGAGGGCTACGGCCCATGAGCGATATGGGTCTCACCACCGGAAGCAAGTCTATCGTTATTATTGACGATACGGTGCCGGGCTTACGTGATAGACTGCCTATGACCACTTTTGATCCCAATCCTCCTGTTGTGGGATTATCAGCGGGCTCTTTTCTAACTGTCGGCGGCGACCCAACTCCTCCTACAACGCCGCCCGCACAGCTTCTCGCCGGAACCATACGAAGGTCATCATATCTTCTCGATCAACTCATCAGCCCCCCATCCGAGGAATTTCTGCCACCTTTCGTACCGGATATGGCGACTTTGGGACGCACCCACAGCGTAGGGCCATCGGAAGATGCGAACCGATTCTCTAGTTCAACAATGCGCCGCGGCGGTAGTCTGCGGCATCCACCTCTTAGCCGTGGGGCGTTGCAGTTTCATAAGAGGAACCAGTCTACAAATACTCAAAAATCAGATCGCTCTTTTAGACGCCATGCCTCGTTTGGTAGCCATCTTGAACGACACTCTGCAGCTCGAAGTTTTGATGCCACCACAGACTCGTCCATGCTGGATAGAGAATATGACGCTCCTGCCCCTGAGCCTCCCCGTGTACTTCGCAGGCGTCCCGGTGGATATCTCAGAGCTGCTGCTAACGCGGGTGGCGTGGATAACCCGTCTGGGATGCGGAGATCTCAGTCTGTTGGGTCTCTTACAACTTATACCGAGTCGGTCCGGAGCTCCTACCTTCTTGGTACTCATCCCGAGCAGGACGATGAGGAATGCAGCTTTGCTGGAGCAGAAGAGCACCCTCGTGGGAGACAGGAGGTATTTTCTGTCGGTCAGCTGACCGGGAAGCCACCCAAGCGAAATCTGTCTTTGTTTAGCACACACTCGTCGAAGCCCATTATGCGTCCCTCGTTTGAGATAGAAGCTCGAAAATTGGCACAGATACCTGATGAGGATGACGGCGGCATCGAGTCTGCACTGTTAAAGCTTGAGGGCAGATATCAACCGAAGCCAAAATCATTTGAGCGGCTTAACCAAATGGCTCTGATAGACGCACAAGAATTTGGTGGAAAGGCGCCGGCGGTAGATCCCTATGTCAGCCAGGATGAAAGCCAACACAGTGAAACAAGCGGCATGGATAATGACTATTATCAATCGCAAGTTCAAGAATTCTCTGACGACAAAGGAAAGCAGCCACTTGAATTTGAATATAACCGGAACACCATAACAACCCGGAGCAGGGCAGCTACGCTTGAGGCGCGCTCATTCTTGAGTGGTGACTCAGACGAATCGTACTGCTCCATACCTCTACTTGAACGGGGCTTAACAGATGATGGTCGAAGCATAAAGGGAGCCTCGGAGTGGACTGACCGGTCTGTTCTTCGAGGCTCATCAGACGATGACGCTGTAGCTTCGGATATTCCAATAGCTCTGCACATCTCTAAGCCGCGTCTTTCTTATGACTTTGTCGAAAAGACAGATAGCATTGAAAGGATTAGACCTGGTACGACAACTCCTGCACCAGCTGATGACCGAACTTTCCTGGAAGACGCTAGCGTTGGCGGTTCAGATCTTTCTTCTGAACTCACCCCCTCTGAGGATGAAGATGCGGGTAATCTGGACAGGAGAGTGGGCGTATTTTCTGTCTCATCCCAACCACACCCATTCGGAGACCCTATTGCTACGCCTCGATCAGACTCTTCTTCTGCCCCCATGACGCTCGCTCAGGCATTAGCGATGAGTCCAATAATGATGAGTCCAGTGATGATGAGCCCGGAGAGAACTCTCGATCCGGATCAAATTTGGATCAGCAAACCCCTTCCTCTCACTCCAGACAAATATCAAGAATCTTCCTACACGGCTGAACCTAAGCTTGTCCATGAGACACCGCGAGTAACTACCGAAGCTCTTCATTCGGTGCCCCAGACAGAAGTGCCCAACACTCTCAAATATTCAATTCACTTGCCATTCATTCTGGCGTTTGACTCTGATACTTTGGCTCAGCAATTCACTCTTATAGAGAAAGATGCTCTAAACGATATTGACTGGAGAGAGTTGATTGACATGAACTGGAAGAATGCTACTAGCAACGATTCTCGCTCGTGGGTTGATTTTTTGAGAAAGACTAATGCTCACGGAGTTGAAGTTGTCATTGCTCGATTCAATATCATGGTCAAGTGGGCCATTTCTGAGATTGTGCTAACTCAGCACATCGAAGAGAGGGCTCGATGCATCATCAAACTCATCCACATAGCGGCACACTGCCGGCGCTATCGCAATTTCGCTACCTTGGCACAGCTCACAATCGCCTTGTCGAGTGCAGAGGTCTCCCGCCTTTCCAAGACTTGGGATCTAGTTCCAGCTAAAGATCTGAACACGCTAAGCGAGATGGAGGCTCTTGTTACACCTTCGCGTAACTTTTATAGTCTCCGGGCAGAAATGGAGAGCGGTTCTGACGGAGGATGCATTCCATTTGTCGGCATCTATACGCATGACCTTCTCTTTAATGCACAGCGCGCTTCCGAAATAGCCAGCTCACCGACCACTCCTCCGCTGGTCAACTTTGAGCGATGTCGCATTGGGGCAGCTGTGGTCAAGACAATGCTGCGCCTATTAGAAGCCAGCACTCGGTACACTTTTCAGCCGGTTGAGGGTATTACAGAGCGATGCCTCTGGATGGGCGCATTAAGCGACGATGAAATCCAACGACGCTCTAAGACGTTGGAATAGGCAAAGTCCCTTGATTTCTCACGTTCTTCAACAAATCGATTATTTCTTCGTTTAAACTTTGATACCACGGATTTTTAACATATAACACAAGCAGACCAATCCTCTCAACTGCATCTCAACTTCTCACCATACACACACAATACTTTCAATGTTTCTTATGCACACACCTTTGTCTTTTGTCAGCTCTGGTATAGAAGTTATACGACATCAAATTTGATCGAGACTTTACAAGACTTCTCATTTGTCACAGCAGCAATAGTCTGCAGAATAAGAAGAGAGAAAAAGTGGGATATTACTACCACCGACTACCAAATTTATAATAGCGTGGCATAATCCTCTTCGCTGCCCTTCATCTATCTATCCTTCTATTTGTTTTATTCTTGTCTATATAGGAGGCATTCGCAAAAGTGGATGCCCATAACGCACTTCAAAACCGGATGCGCGGCCAGCACCGCTGCTACCGTCACTATTTTTACGACTTTTGTCCAACAACATTGGCTACTACACCTTGAGCAAGACTCCATTTCCTTTCCTCTGTTGACCAGGTTGTTAATTCCTTATCTGTTGTGTTTTTATTAATCCTTTTCTTTTATGCCCTTTTTCATCTTCTTGCATGATGGCCTCTCTCTTTTTTCTTTTTCTTGCTTTGTTTTTTGGGCGTGGGAGTAATAAGAAGGATATAACAAATAGGAAGGGGGAAACTTTAGATACCAATCAATACTGGAGGGCACTGTGGATATATTTGGGTTGATTAGCGTATAAGGACACATATATACAGCTTTTTGTTTGAAAGATGAAGTATATATAAATTGAAACTCGACTTAGATCGGGTTGCATATAGAATATAAAGAGATTATCTTTTACATCTTTCGTGGACGGCAAGCTTGAGGTAATTGAAGTCGTTTGCCAATGTGGCATGATGATACACTGTACTTGGAGCTTATAAGGAGAACACATTACAAGATGCAGAATAAAAAAAATAAAATAAAGGGGGATATCTTTAAAATCGTTTTTTCTTTCACTACCGGTCGGCTGTTTAAAAAAAGGCATCCTATATGCTACTGCAAAGAAACCAGGGACCTTGAGCGAGGTAACGATCAAGTCCACCCCAGCGGCCGCACAGGGCTTTCCCTCTTCCTCCTCCCTTTCTGATGAAAGAAGGAAGAGTATCTTTCCCTCATCAGTGCTGCGCACTTAGACCCAAATTCCGAGATCCTTCCACCGTTGCACAAAAAGCTTGCCAAAAACCCGCCGCCATTTTTTGTATTCCCTTTGATGATCAAATCGCCAAAATTACCACCCCAAAGAATAAGCTCCCGTTGCTTCTTCTTGTTCTCCTTGTCCAGATGCTGCTTCGACTGCCTCGGCAACTCCAGATTTTTCCTACCACTGGCTCTCCTTGGCGGTCTCAGCGGCCCACTCCTGGGTGCCAGAGGCAGCCCAGTCCTGAGTAGGGGCAGCACCAGCACCGTCCCAGCCGGCAGCGGCGTTAGCACCAGCGAAGCCGGGGGCGGGAGCGTCCCAGTCACCACCAGCGGCGGGGAAGGCAGACTCGACGGCGACGGGAGCCTCCTCCTCAGCGCCGGTGAGGAGCTTCTCCTCCTCAACCTTCTCCTCGGCCTCGGCCTCAGGGTCACGGTCTGTTTTTTGTCATTAGCTTGAGCTTCAATAGCTAGGAAAAAGTTTCAATTTTTTTTCAAAACGTACAGAAGTACAGATCAACCATGACGTCCCAGGGGGTCTCGCGGTTGAAGATGGTGCCACGGAGGCGGAGGACCTCACGGGCAAGGAGCCACCAGACGGTACCGATGGCGTGGCGACCCTTGTTGTTGGTAGGGATGGCAACGTCGACGTACTCGGTGGGGGAGTCGGTGTCGCAGAGGGCAATGACGGGGATGTTGACGTAGCTGGCCTCCTTGATAGCCTGGGCGTCGGTGCGAGGGTCGGTGACGATGATCAGGCGGGGCTCCTTGAAAGAGCGGGTGATGTAGTTGGTGAAGCTACCGGGGGTGAAACGTCCAGCAATGGGGGAGGCACCAGTGTGGCTGGCGAACTTGAGGACGGCACGCTGACCGTAGGGACGGGCAGAGATAACGCAAATGTCGGCGGGGTTCTCGATGGCGGCGATGATACGGGCAGCGAGGACAATCTTCTCCCTGTGAGTCGTTCGAGGCCGTGTTAGTGACAAACTCCAATTGCTCGACTTCTCTCCTTCTAGAGCTCTTTTTCTCGCCCCTCCCCCTCCTTCATCTTCCATCGCGGAGAAAAACGCACCAGGTCTTGCCAACGTTGATGACGTTCACACCATCGACACGGGTCTTCCACAGGTAGGACTCCATGTGCACCTGGAGGTTCTTGGAACCGAGGTGGCACTGGGCCGCCAGGAGCATCTCGATGTCCTGGCTGGTGGCATTGAAAATGGACGGCAGGTTAGCGGGAGCCATCTTGACTGGAATTCTTCCTTCGGTGGTGGGGAGAAAGTTTGTCGTTGAAGGAGGAAAGAATTCGGCGATGGGGGGGTCGACGAGTTTCGTGCAAAGTTTCGCAAAAGTTCGCGAGGGCAAAGCGGACCTTGAATTTTTCCCAAAAATGTGTGCGCTGCAGCCCTGAGGGAGCTAGTACCGAACAGGACTGGCTGATTTCCGCTCGTCTCGAGGTACCGAAGAGGATCTTGAAATTTCACGTGAGATGATGACTAAGGGGATACTCGAAAAGAGTGGGGTGTTTTCTGTTGAGTAGTCAGCAAGATTGATATCGGGATGGGAAATTTTGAATGGCGCCGTCGAGGTGGGTTGATAGCACTTCATCCCGCAGAACAGAAGATCAGCTGCCGGAGCAACAATGCCGCCCAGAATAGATCTGCTACAGCGACTAGGCACAGTCAATTGTATGGCTTTCACACTCCCTCTCTCCCAAAAATAGAAAATGGTTTCGGAATCGTTAATGAGATATGTCGCTAATTGAGCTTGTTAGTGTGCCTACGACCTTCGACGACACCGGCAACACAGGCCTTCCTCCCCATCGTTCAAAAGGCCAATCTGTCTCTGCGCGAAAGAAAGAAGAAGCAGAAGCAGGATCCGTACAAGTGGGCACAGGCACAGCAGCGCAAAGCTGCCAACCTCAAGAGACAGGATGAGCTCTTGAAGAAGCGAGACGAAGAATGGGGTGATCCCGTACGAGGCAGACTGACGCCGTTCCTCGAGTCTCTCGATTCAGCTGGCCAGAACCCGGTGACCAACGTGCCCCGAGACGCCAGCGGAAATGCTCTCGAGGAGCCGAGAGAGCTGCCCACGACGCCTGGCCTGCGCAACCATTTCCTTACCGATGCGGAGCTCGAAGATGCCGTCAAGCACGCCTATGCCCTAACGAAGCCCATGGTCGGGGTTGTAGAGTCACAGATGGACCCTACTACGGAGGAGGAGAGGAAGCAAGCTCACAACCAGAAGCACCAGAAAGCCGTTGAGGCCCTGAAGCGGATCACAGCCCTGAGCAACGGCAGCGCGCGGGATCGATTCCACGCCAACGTCAGGCGCATCGTTGATGAGTTTGGACGCCACAACACAGACAAGGTTCTCAAGCCTAAGCCGCAGTCCATTTCACCAAATACCACACCGATGCCTGGTCGTGCTGGACCAGATACTGGCAGCTCAGAGGTACAGATTGCAATCCTGACCGCCAAGATCAGATCGGTGTCCGAAGCGCTGGCAATCAACCGAGGATACAAGGATGTGCACAACAAGAGGAACTTGAGACTGCTTGTGCACCGACGCCAGAAGCTGTTGCAGTATATGGAGCGAAAGGAGAGAGGTAGCGAGAGATGGACAAACATGATTGAGAAGCTAGGACTCACACCAGCGACGTGGAAGGGACAGATCGATCTGTGAGGGAGGAGGAGAAATTAAAGAGACAAGGCGGAAGAAAAAAAAAATAAAAAATGCTGTAGGATAGTTAAAGCATCTGTATATGTATAGTAGAGCCCGTTAGAGGATGCGTGATTGCCTATGTCAATCGTTCGCCTCTTCCATATGCGCCTAATCTGAATGAACCCTTCCCGTGCAATTGATACGAAACGAAAAAGAAGAAGGAAAAAAAAATAAAACAGCCAACATTATACTACACTCGCACGCTGCTCAAGACAAGTCCATTATTAGTCCATGTGCCGCTTAGAAAACGCTGATAAAGTTTCCGATGCGATCTTTCTGGTTCTGAGCTATACACTCAGCAATCCATGTTATGTTCCGGATTTCCTATATTCGGTTAGTATCGTCATCGCTTCTCAAAATGAGATCACAAGATCACGTACTTGTTCTCTAAGCTTCACCCACGCATAGACGATGGCATAGGTAAATTGTCGCGTAAATGCGTCTTTGGAAATCTCCATCTCCTTCTGGTAAAACATGTCCTCCAAGCTCTTGCCGTCGGTGGAACCACCACCCATATTGCCGGGGCCACCGGAGCCGCCTAGGGAGACGGCATCAAAGAAGGTCTTGTAATCATGAACACCATCAACAGCAAGACGCACGCCCTCAACATCATCTGCCCGAGAGAGCATCAAGGTTCCCTCAGGATACAGCTTGCCAAAGGTAGGGTACAGCTTGTTGCGGTCTGCCTTGGTCAACTCGGTGCCGAAAGAGTTTAGGGTGATGTTGATAGCTCGGCGGTCTGCCTCAAACTCAAGGATGTTAGACATGACCTCAGCAGTAGGCGTACCAGCCATCTCTGAGTGGGTGTTGACAAATTTGTAAAAGTCCTCAAGATAGTTCTTGTAAAGGGTGTTTCGGACGATTTCGATGTTGAGCTCGTCCAAATCTTGGTGGCTCAGACTGCCCTTGAAGTATGGGGCGAGCGGAGTCTCGATCAAGACGCTGTTATAGAGCTCTTCAACATTGGTCGCGACGCACAGCACGGGCATAGTCTCAAACCATCCCAACGGGTGGCATCTCTCCAAGAGCTCTCGGGTATCTCGTTCGTGCAGGGTGCCGGTGATTAGCAGGGCGACGTTATCAATCATGTAGCCGTACGTCACGTAATCCATGAATTGAGCCAAGGCACCCGTAGCATTAGCGCGAACATATCGGAATTCCGAGATGAGCTTGTCTGTTGTCTTTGAAGCAAGCGCAGATGTCGATGGGTTTGGAGGAAGGGATGCGAGGAAGTCGCCGTAAGCAGGGCCAAGCTGCAGCTTCAGGTCTGCGAACATTAACAATAGGAATATATCTAACACGAGCTCATACATACCATCGATGGTCTCGCATTGTGTCAGGTTGTTGTAGGCTGGGGTCGTTAGAAGGCTGTTGCGGTAACCACGAACAATGCCCTCGATGTAGCTGCAGACCCCCCGTCAATAAAGCTAAATAGCGAAGCGCCCCAACCAAAACTCACCCATTGTTCACGTTGAATAGAAGGCCTTCCATCTTGTTTTGCTTCGTATATGCTCCGAGTTACGTAAGACGGACGAAATTAATGGTCAAACGAGCGGTGACGCACGGCAGCGGCGATGTTATAGGAGCTGGCTCGGCTTGTCCCGACGTTTCTTGATTTCTCGGAACTACTTCTGCATGGCCGGCGAGCAAGGCGCAATTGCAGCAGTGACACAGCGTCGCACGTGAGTGGTCCAGAAGCGTTCCGGAATTTCTGTAGCGCCGGCGCCCGGCGGCCCATCCCACTTAGAGGCTTTAGCACCAATGCAAAGCCAAAAATTTTGAGTGGAGACTAAAGCTTCAACTGAAAAATTTCCCAAACTCACTTTTTATTCGGCCTCTTCCCTGAATCCTCACGCACACAACTCTCTCAATTGGGATTTGGGAAGAAGAAGGAACTCCATTAGACAAGCGCCGGAGTCCTAGAGGGAGATTCAATTATTCACCATGTCTCTCTTCGTTCTTGCAGAGACGCCTGCAGGGTCAGTCTTCGAAGCCTCTAGCTATTCCTCGCCATGATGGATGATGGCGTGTATTTGGACTTGGACTGACAGAATTGCAGCTATGGCCTGTTGAAGGCGAGCGATAAGAAGATGCTCAAGAATGCCGATCTCGCGGCTGAGCTGGGAAAGCCGGAGCGCTTGATTGAGATGTAAGATGCTCTCTCGACTTACCCAGCCTCTACGATAAATTTTTCTTTGTTCCTTTTTTCCCATACTAACGAATGGTCGCATACAGGCTCAAGCTGAAGAAGTTCGTCAAGTTCGACAGTGCCGCCATGGCTCTTGAGGAAGCCGCCGCCGTCAGCCAGGGTCAAATTCCTCCTCTGTTGACCTCACTGTTGGAGGATTTGCAGGCTGAAAAGAAGGCTTCCTTGGCCGTTGCCGATTTGAAGCTGGGCACAGCCATTTCCAACCTGCCTGGCCTCAATGTCACCCCGGTGGCTGGCTCCGACACGATGGACCTTTTCCGTGCCGTTCGCGAACATGTTTCGTCCCTCATTCCCGGTCTCGACCAGGACGTCCTGGACCGCATGACCCTCGGTCTGTCGCACTCAATGTCTCGACACAAGCTCAAGTTCTCGGCCGACAAGGTCGATTCGATGATCATCCAGGCCATCAAGATGCTTGACGATATTGACAAGGAGCTCAACGTTTATGCTATGAGAACAAAGGAATGGTACGGATGGCATTTCCCCGAGATGGCCAAGACCCTCAATGACAACTTGGCCTACGCCCGTGTCGTTCGATCTGTCGGCATGCGAGACAACTTCAAGGATGCCGACCTTTCTGATATCCTCCCCGAGGACGTCGAGGCCTCGTTGAAGGCTTCTGCTGAACTCTCTATGGGTGTTGAGATTACTGAGGATGATTTGAAGAACGCTGTTGAGCTTGCGGACCAGGTTATTAAGTTTACCGAGTACCGAGCTCAGCTCACATCTTACCTGGAGAGCCGAATGCGCGCCATTGCTCCCAACCTGACTGCCCTTGTTGGCTACCTCGTTGGCGCCAGACTCATCTCTCACGCCGGATCCGTCCTCAGCCTGGCCAAGGCTCCCGGTTCCACCATCCAGATTCTCGGTGCCGAGAAGGCTCTCTTCCGAGCTCTCAAGACGAAGAAGGATACCCCCAAGTACGGTATCATGTACCACTCTTCCCTCGTCGGCCAGGCTACTGGCAAGAACAAGGGTAAGATTGCCCGTATGCTGTCCGCCAAGGTTGCCCTAGGTCTCCGTGTGGATGCCCTCGGCGATGACGAGGAAGAGGATGACGAGCAGCGTGCTGCCCTTGGTCTCACCAACCGAATCAAGCTTGAGAACTACCTCCGCAGACTCGAAGGCAAGGCTGCCCTGCCCAAGGGCACCAACGTTACTCCTTCTGGAGAAATTGTTTCAGCTGGCCAGTTCAGCCTCAAGGAGACCGGCAGATATGCTGTTGATGCCGACGGTGTGGTCGACCATGACATGGCCGACGCAGATGCTGAGCCCGCCACCAAGAGCAAAAAGTCCAAGAAGCCTAGAATCGAGGTCGTCGAGGAGAAGGACGTTGATATGGAGGACGCTCCTGAAGACTCCGATGACGACTCCGATGAGGCCTCAGTTAAGAAGCTTTCGGAAAAGGAGTACGAGCGCCTGGCTGACCTCTCTGGCCTGTCCGTCAAGAAGTTCAAGCGAAAGTATGAGCGCGGTGACATCCAGCTCGGTGAAGATGGCAACCCCAAAGTCCTCAGCAAGAAGGAGCTCAAGAAGCTGCGCAAGGCCGAGAACGACGAGGAGCCCGCCGAAGCTTCACCAGAGAAGAAGAAGAAGCGAAAGGCCGACGACGTTGAGGCCGAGCCCAAGAAGGACAAGAAGTCCAAGAAGAAGCGTGAATCTCTCGGTGCTTAGAGTTCTTCGAAGAAACGCCGACTCTTTTGAATAAGATGTTATATACATGTGTGTGCATACATACATACACACACACGCACG